AGTGATTGGACTGTATAGCCAGTAACTGGTAGATCTGGACTTTGAACCTAAGCAGCAGATAAGCACAAATCTGTTACCCCTGACAAACAGTTTAAAAGAGCAAGTCCTAGTGATGGTGGATCCATTGTGTCGCACAGAGAGGAGGGACAAAAATTATATCTGATGGTGTAGAACCAGCCTGGGCAGTGTTTTGGGGTGTGGGCACGTAGCTCTGTTTTGTGTGTTCCCACATGTGCGCATCCAAGGAACAGGCCGGTGGGAGGGGTTTAGATGTTCCAGCTACTTGGAAGAGACCTCTGGGAATGACAAAGCTTAGGTGTGAATTCAAGTGCAATTGAAAAATGAGCAACAGATTTTAGTGAATTTGCCCATGAATCTATTTCTCCAACACTTTCATTTTGTGCTGATTTTGATCCAAAGCGTGATGTAGCCAAGTGCTAATGCAGCTGTGTGTCGCAGGGAAAAGTGAGATTGCTTTGTCTACTTTTTGCTCTATTTATGTCTTTAATTTATAAGTTTAAAAAAATTTCCTTTCTGTGCTTTCTTGGTAAGGCCTGGATAATGGTAGTAAAGGACACCCGTGGAAAAATTCTGGGAACCCAAATGACTCTGTATTCTCTCTTAATTCTCTAGGGACACGTAAATTGAATTGGCTCAGCAGTGAACAGAATTGATTGCAAAATCACGTCTTAGTGCAGAGGGAGCATATGAAAGCTTTCCTCACCCTCCTTTGATTTAATTAAATTGTACTCCCATCATAGCTTCTGGGTGAGGACTCATAGAATTGCAGTACCCTGTGATTTGTATCAAAGACCTACTTTCCTGCCCTGGTGTTTATCTTCAGAATCGAGCCCTGTGGTTCAAAGAATATGAAGTGTTACTTCTGTGTTAGGTGCCAGCTGGTCACGTGGGTTAGTGGTGAATGCTTCAGGCTGGAATCAAAGGCCATTCCCAGTTTCATTTTCTCTCCATCTCGTGGCAAATTCTTTCTTCCAGTGACTCACCTTCCCTAGCTGCGCACGACATCTCATCACCTTTAGTGTCGTCATCATCATCATCATCATCATCATCATCATCGTGTCTTATGTGTCACGTGGTTAGTGGTTAAGAGCTTGGGCTTTGGAGACAGACTGTAGGAGTTTCTGTCTGGATTCTGCCCAATTCCAGCTGTCTGACCTTGGGCAAGTGACCTAACCTCTCCAATGCCTCAGTTTTCTCATCTATATGTCAGAAATAATTAGGTTGGTGTGAGGACTAAACAAGATAAATGCATATAGAGTGCTCAGAGTGGTGTCTGACACATAATAAGGCTTTTGTTACCATCGTTTGTATTAATCCGTTATTGCTGTTGTAATTATTTTATAATGAATCTCAGATGGACCCTGATAACATAAAGTAAACGTATGTAATTTGTATTCTCTGGAAACATGCACTTGAAAACAAGTGTTCATTGGTATGGATATTTAACAAATTCTCATGCACAGTGTTCAGCAGAAACTAGTGCATCCCTGAATGAAAGTACTATAGAAAGCCAGAGGGCTCAGAGACTTGCATGTGGCCAGGTCTTAGAGTACTCTGGCTAAGCAGGATGGTTAGACTTTAGCTTAAGTTGGGTTGTTGAAACTGTATTAACTGATTTATTCTTCCTAGGAGCCATAATTCAGGAAGTGTTGAGTGACTCATGTCCCCTTGAATTGATCCTGGAGATTTGAGTTCTATCCTTTTAAGACAAAGGCTCTTGAGAGGCTTACTTGAAGGCATACAAACCTAAGATAACTCTACTAATCAATCCTAAGACAGAAGCCACTGCCAAAGAGACCTTTTATTTTAGGAAATTGCCCTTGTCTCTGAACCTCAGTCTGACATTAGTGGGCTACTATGAGATCTAAAGAAGGTTTCCCCAGAACAGACTGAGCATTTCTAAAGGGCAAATCGCATGCCCTCTGCTTCTGCCAGAATGGAAGGTATTTACAAACCATAGGCTGCTGGTATGGCTTGGTAGTTGTGTGCATTTGCCACTGCCTGGAAAAGTAAATGACAGTTGGAACATCCCTACAACGGCAAGATAGACTAGTACATCACCTTCCAGCTTTGTGTCCTTGGACAAACTATGTAGCCTCTCTGGGCCTCAGGTTCCATACCTGTAAAATGGGAATAACGCTAGTACCTAACCCACAAGGTTGTTAAAAAGATTTGATGATGTCACGTATGGCACTTGGTAAATGCTGGGTAAACAAAGCCATTGCCCCTTAGTGCTATTCCCACGCCAGCATCTGGCCCGTGTGATGGTGAGGCTGCTCCCCCACCCCAGGCCTTCCTTGTTGGGCCATGTAGTCACGCAGTCCTGGCAGGCATGGTTTGTTAGCTTCATTTCAAACTCATTCTCCTTGGCTCATTTACCCAAACCAGACAGAGATTAATGGCCTGGCCTCTGGAGGATCGGGCGGCACGTGTTCCTGGTGCCTTTGGCTCATTGATATCGCCTCTCTGATTTGAGGAATGCCTGGGTGTTCCGGGACCGGGCCTCCTGAGCTCCGGGAAACATTAAAAGAAAGTAATTTGCTGCAGATTCACCTCCTAGTTAAGGAGGGCTGAAAGCCCTGTATTTTGTTCCTTCTGGATTTTGCCATTTAGAAACAGGAGCAGGTTTCTCTGGGATAGGAAGTTTGAATTTAATGGGAGACATGAAGTGAGCAGGGATGGCTGGAAAAAATACTTGCCCAAATATTGTCTCTTCCCCTGTGTTCCCCTCACCTTCCTGTCCAATTTTAGTGCGTGCCATTGACCGTGAATGGCTAGTCCTCGCTATTACGAGGCTACTCACTTTGCTCTGCAGGATTGTGCCGCTGCCTCTCTCTTTGCCACATCCTCATCTCCTGCCCTTCTCTGTTGTGCACTAGTTGCCAAGCGCACTGGCCTTCCTCCCTCCAAAAGGCCATACCAGGGCTTCCCTGGTGGCGCAGTGGTTGAGAGTCCGCCTGCCGATGCAGGGGACGCGGGTTCGTGCCCCGGTCCGGGAAGATCCCACATGCCGCGGAGCGGCTGGGCCCGTGAGCCATGGCCGCTGAGCCTGCACGTCCGGAGCCTGTGCTCCGCAATGGGAGAGGCCGCAACAGTGAGAGGTCGGCATACCGCAAAAACAATAAATAAATAAAAAGGCCATACCAGGCTCACAGTCTTTTGACTCCTTTTATGCATATAAACTGATGCCTTTTCATTCATCAGACAATAATGCTTGAAGTTCAGAAACCCCTTTATTCTCATCTTTCTGACCTTCAGTAAGTGCCTGTGTGTCTTTGTAGTCTTCAGGAAATGAATAATGATCATAAAATGGAGTGGTTTGTTAAATTATCTGTTTGATAATTCAAAGACCTTCTTGGCTGACTCCTTCAGTTTATAGATGGGGCAGTAGAGACCTGCAGGCGGTGAGAAACTTACCCAGTGACACAAGGCAATCGGGGGGCTGTGTTGGAATTCTTGCCCAGCTCTTGACCAGCATCTCACCCATATTTCCTAGCAGGTAAAAAGTCCCCTTAGGGTGTCATGGCTCTTTTTTCAGAGATGCTTGGCTCTGTTCCTCAAAGGGTTAAATAAGTGGCTCTCAACCAACAGTGGCCATCACAATCATTTGGAATATCCTTTTTTATTTTATTTTTTTAAGTTATGACCAGTTTCATGCTGTGCCTTTTCATACCTACAGAATCATAAGCACCAAGGAAAGATTTGGGCACTATGATTTTTTTTCTAAAGCAGAGGCTTTATTATCTTATTTAATAATGTCAGCATATCAGGGATTTGCAAACTATGGCCCACGGGCCAAATCCAGCTCACCACTTATTTTTGTATGGCCCATGAGCTCAACATGGTATTTACAGATGAACATTTGCAATTGACTTGATGATGAGAAACATTTTGAACTCTATTTAAGCTAAATGTTATCCTTCCTCTATAAAAAATTCTGTTCTTCTGATTAGTCGATCTGTATTTCAAAAAATTGTACTCCTTGGAAAAGATACTCCGAGTGGTTGTACTGACCACTCTTGCCTGAGAACCAGTTCTTTAACCCCTGGATGAACCAAGCCAAGCATCTCTGAAAAGAGCCATGAAACCCTGATTTTCACCTGCTAGGAATAGAATACCTGTATCTCAAAAACTTAACTGTATTTTGAATTTTGTCAAGAAAAAATTGTGGAAATTTGTCTTCTCTCTTGTTTTACAAGTACCTGTATAATATCATTGATTTGACTTTTGCCTCCTGGCCTGCAAAACCTAAAATATTTACCAACCTGTCCTTTACAAGAAAAAGCTTGCCAACTCTTTCAGTGTGTCATTGTTTTTTTATTGGGGTACATTCCCTTTTATGAATTCTAGAAATCATTAAAGGGTTTTCTGTTGTAAAAGTAATATATTCTCCTTATAACATTCAAATTTATGGAAGTATATGAAGTAAAAAATGATTGGTCTCATTCCCCAGTGTTAGCACTTAAGAGTTTGTAATGTATCTCTGTCCAGACTTTGCCACGTACTAGCTGTGAGACCTTAGTTAACCTCTCTAAGCCTCTCAAATTCTCCATCTGTAAAACAGTGATAATAACCATTCGTACCCAACAGAATTGTTGCATAGATAATTTGAGATAATTCATGTGAACTGCTCAGCACGTTGCCTGGTGTGCAGTTAATGCCTAATGATTTGTAACTAATTACATTTTCTTCTTCCTTTTTAGTTTATATGCAAACATAAGTTTGGGGTTTTATTAAAGGAGGAATATGATTTTTTTTTTTTTTAACAATAAAGTTCCAGAGGTGATTCTGATGTGCACACACTTAAGAGCTGAAGTAAATACTGGGAAGTAATTATAGAAGGGATTTCTATTTGGGGGCCAGAATTGCCTTCCATTGTCTAGCACAAACCAGGGAAAAGGAGAAGGTAATGGTTTTCTTCAGCGAAACTGTAGGGTAGTATAAAATTCACACAAGTAAATGTTATTTCTGTTTTCCAGGTCTACAACTCGAACAAAGACAGCCAGAGCGAAGGGAGTAAGTGTATTGCTTGGATACTTTTCTACAGGTGGGGGTGGGTCTGGGCCTGGAGAAGTTGCTATTCTGGGGAAGAACCACCAGGAGGTGCTGTGGGCATGTTGGGTCGCCCCATTCCCCCAGTGCAGCCGAGCTACTACTGCTCCAGTTTACAGCGTCAGTGACTCCAGGACGGTCAGTGAGCCTGACTGGCAAGGCCGTGATGACATCTTGCACTGTATAACCCTTCACACTGTGCAAAGAATTTTTATGTACATTATCTCAGTTAATCCTTTGTTGTCTTAAGAATGTAGCTCCAGTCACCACTTAAAAGTCACTTAATCCGATAACACCCAGCTCCCCCAGCGCCCTGTCCTATGGGAAGCCAGAATTGACTTTGCCTCCCTCACAGTCTCGCTCCAAGGACTGGAGAGCCAGAACCATCTTAGTGATCGCTTAGTAACTAACTCTGTGTTCCTTGTTGCCACTTTGGGGAGTTAAGAGTGGAGACGAAGAACTCTGTAATAGTATTCCTCTTTCCTGGGAGTGACCCTGGGCGGCCTCTGTAGAATATACAGCACATTTCCCCTGCTACTGGCTCTGAGCACTCTGGTTAATCATGATTTCCAAGGGCACCTGTAACCTTGTAAAGATGATGGGATTAAAATGAAACCACTATTGCTAGAGTGTTTGGGCTGGTTATCTCCTTGGTGCACAGGGGAAAAAACAAATTCCTGCCACGTTGCTACCAGAGTACAAAGGAAATTCTGTCCCCTTACCTCAGATTTGCTTTGTAAGATCCACTTGGAAGAAAAATTCCAAGATAGCCCTACCGTGAATTCCCGTAGTGTCAGTAAAACAGTACCTCTTCGTGTGGACAAAAGGATGAGCTGTTTTTAGTGTGTGTGAAATCCATTATGGGACAGAGGTTTTCTTTCTTTCATTCCCTCCAAAATACAGATTCTACCAGAAGTTTTAAATAAAATATCAAGTAATTTGGAATGGTTGCTATTGGTAGGTTAAGAGGCCTTTAGGAGAGGAAAAAATGTTTCTTTTTTTTCCTTCAGGAATTGAACAAGGGGAAATTTTTTTCAAGTCAATATTCAAGGAAACAAGTCATTCCCGCCCCCACCCCCACCCCCGCCCTTGTCAGGTGGGATTGTTTTAGAATATCTGAAATCAGCTCTGGTTAACTTGGCCTAAAATAACAGTACAATAATAATAATAATAATAATAATAATAATAATAATAATAATAATAATAACAAAGGAATACAGAAGGCTTCAGTGTAACTCACAGTAAGGTAGGAAGACCTGAAGAACCAAGGCTTGAAAACAAACCAGTTCTGGAGACCCAGGGACCAATGAGAAAGGGTCTTCTGGATGATATTTGCAGGATGATAAAGCCCTTAAACTCTTTTTTAGTCCTTGCCTCACTCTTCTGAAGGACCAGATTCCCAGGAAAGATAACATCAAGGTGGTCTAGCTGTGGCCTACCCAGGGGAAGACAACACACCTTGATTGACGGTTTCAACAGTATTCATAAAATGGGAGCAGGGCGGTTTACCAAAGGGAGATCGCGGAAGCCACCGGGACAAGAGAGTATAGATGCCAAGCAGGCTGAAATGACAGATGCCCACACCATGCCCTAACCTGGGAGACACTTCTGTCATGAAGGACCCAGGAACTGTGGGGGACGAGATGCATATGAATGGAGAACCAGCCCCTGCTTCACCCCACACCAGAAGTTTACCTGTAACTTTTGACCTTATGAACCTTCTTCTCTCTCCTTGAGATAAGTGCCACTAGATTTGAAAGACAACCGTGACTCTTCTGGTGGCCAGTAGCAGCTGGTTGTACTGTTTTGTAAGGCCTCTGGGGCATATGTATCGGAAGCCTTTAAAATGTAAATATCCTGTGACCCAGCGATTTGTCCTAAAGAACAGGCTGGAGTGCAAAGATGGTTCTGTAAAAAAGTTCACTGGAGGGCTTCCCTGGTGGCGCAGTGGTTGAGAGTCCACCTGCCGATGCAGGGGACACGGGTTCGTGCCCTGGTCCGGGAAGATCCCACGTGCCGCGGAGCGGCTGGGCCCGTGAGCCATGGCTGCTGAGCCTGCGCGTCCGGAGCCTGTGCTCCACAATGGGAGAGGCCACAACAGTGAGAGGTCCGCATACCGCAAAAAAAAAAAAAAAAAAAAAAAAAAGTTCACTGGAGCATCGGTAATAATAGTGAAGAATTGGAGACAATCTAAATGTTCAATAGGAAGTCCATTAAAAATATCATAAAGTACTATGTAGCCTTCAGAAAGAACAAGAGAGATCTTGGTATATTTGCAGAAGTGGTATCCACAGTATACTGTTCGTTGAGTTTTTAAAAATTCAGGTTGTAGAATCATGCATTTATTAAAATAAATTAGTTGACTCATCTAGATACATTGATAGAAGAAAAGTCTGGAAATACATTTATCATTAAACTCTTACTCAGGATAGAGGGCAGATTATTGCGAGACACTGACCTTCTACTTTAAATATTCTGTGTACTTTGCATTGTCGACAAAGAGTATGTATTTTACAATACTGGCGATTAATAGGTAGCATTTATCGACTGCTTACTGTGTTTCAGTGTGTTTTATCCGCATTAGCTCATTTAAAGCTCACAGCACTGACTGAGGTAGGTGCCTTTGACCTACTTTGTAGATTAGGAAATTGAGGTTGGTGAACTCAGGAGATATGAGTTAATCTGAGTTCTGTCTGATTCTAACATCTGTGCTGTCAACCATGAGAATATTCTACTTCCCTAGGAAAAGAGCAATACAGAAAGTTCTATCTTGGGAAACATAGACACTTGCAACGTTTTGCTTTCGGCATCGCGTTATCCACAGGGTGCAGAGAGTTGGCTGCCTCGAGTCTCTGATGATTCTTCAATGGCTTATTACCCTTTCATTTAGGAAGTGGGAAAGAAAAATGTGTTAAACATATTGCCCACTTTTCCAGGAGTACTTTTGATAGAAACAGCTTTTCTAGGGTATTGCTATTCTTTTTTTTTTTTTTTTTAAATAAATTTATTTATCTTTGGCTGTGTTGGGTCTTTGTTGCTGCGCATGGGCTTTCTTTAGTTTTGCTAAGCTGGGGCTACTCTTCATTGCAGTGTGTGGGCTTCTCATTGCGGTGGCTTCTCTGTTGCGGAGCACGGGCTCTAGGCGCACAGGCTTCAGTAGTTGTGGCACACGGGCTTAGTTGCTCCGCGGCATGTGGGATCTTCCCGGACCAGGGCTCGAACCCACGTCCCCTGCATTGGCAGGTGGATTCTTCAACCACTGTGCCACCAGGGAAGTCCTGGGTATTACAATTCTAAAAGATGTTCTGTTCACTGATTTCCAAGCTGGCAAAACCAGAGGGCTGTTCTGGGTTGGTGCTTCCTCCCGTCCTTTGGCAGTAGGAACCCCTCTTCACATCACACAAGCCTTAGCTTTGCTTCCCCTCCCCTTCAGAGCGCTTGTCCCTTTCGTATTCCTCATGGCAGTGATTTGCAGTTTCACTGCGCTCGTCGCCACAGGTGGCGCTATTGCCCAGGGTCTGATTGTTCTGCAACTCTGTTTATATGACAGTCAAAACTTTTTTAAAGGTAAGAAGTCAATCTGATAGGAATTTAAGAGCGGGATATCACACTTTTCACCTTTAATAGCCATTTACAAATGTCTAGCATTTTCCTTTCTAGAAAATATTTTGGTGGGAATTTCATTGCCAACATTTTATCACAGAACCAGAATGTTTTCAAGAGACAGGTAGCAAAAGGGAATTCCGTTGGGGACATTTCTGAATTTGTTGCTTTTCTCTTGAAGTTTCTCTCAGGCCGTACAGTGCCTGTGGGGTATAAGACAGGGCCATAAATAATGTCTGGCAGCTGCTGGTATTTTCCAAGTGGCCCAGTTGCCAGGAGAGGATGGCAGCAGATAAATACATGCACATTTCTTTGCAGAGCCTTTTTCACCTCCTCTTTCTTCTCTGTTTGGATCTCAGGTACAGTGAGTGAAATAATCATAATCCCCAGTTTGTGGCACGTGATCGTCACAGGCCCCTCCCTTTCGCCCTTCATTCATTCACTTATTCATTCACTCACTCCCTTTTAGGTCTTTTCCCACCTCCTATTCCTGTCCTCCCCTTCACCGTTCTAATGTGTACCTTTAAAGTGTATTCTTGGACAATGAGTATCTTTTATCTCCCTGTGTTTTTGGTTGGTTTTTTTTTTTTTGCGGTACGCGGGTTGTGGCCTCTCCTGTTGCGGAACACAGGCTCCAGACGTGCAGGCTCAGTGGCCATGGCTCACGGGCTCAGCCGCACTGTGGCATGTGGGATCTTCCCGGACCGGGGCACGAACCCGTGTCCCCTGCATTGGCAGGCGGACTCTCAACAACTGCGCCACCAGGGAAGCCCTCCCTGTGTTTGTTTTTAAGTTACATAAATGTTTGTCTTGTTCTGTTTCCTACTGTGCCCCCTCAGCATTGTGTTAGGAACCGTCCATATTCCCCCGTCTGCCTCCAGACTGTGGCTTCCGTCTGCCGCACACTCCATGGTGTGTAACACTGTGCAGAGATGCACTCCACTCCGTGTGCCTCCCAGTCCTCATCACCACTAACAATACCACGAGGAACGTCTTTGTACATGTCCACCTGTGTGAGAATCTCTTTGGGGTTTACCCTCAAGGAGAGTTGCTGGTTAGCCAGAGGGTGTGTGTGTACTTAGTTTGAGGGAAGGCTGTCGCCTTGTGACCTAGACTGGCCTTTCCCCAGTCCTCCCAGCCCGACAAGAGTATTTCCCCATTCCTGCCAACTCTTCTCATTATATTCAGCTTTCTAATTTTTTGCCAGTCTAATAGATATAAAATGGTAGCTCATTGTTGTCTTAATTTGTATTTCTGTAATAATTAATATGTTTGAGTATCTCTTCATATGCCTGCTTACTGGGTGTCCTCTTCTGCTTTTTGCCTATTTGTGTCCTTTGCCCATTTTTCTATTGCAGTTA